CCGGGCGGCAGAGGGGGGGGGAGAGAGAAGTGGAGCAGGAGAACAAAGGTCCACAGCGCTTGCCTTCTTTGCCTTCTTCCTTCCCCCCCCCCCTTTTCCCCTCCTCCAGAACCTTCTAAATCTCAGTCTCGGAAGCCCAAGTGCGGGAAGGGGATTTACCGCTCCCGGAATGCCTACATGTTGGTGTATCGGTTGCAGTCGCGGGAGAAGTCCCTGGCTGTTGAACTCCCAGGTGAGGCTTCCCGCGTGTCCCCACTCTCGGCCCTTTCCTCCCAACCCGTCCATCAACGACATGTTCCCGTCCCAGACGCACACGAGGGTTAGAAACCGCCGCACTTTGCCTGGTTGAAAATTCAGAATTGTGATGTGCTTGGGGAGGGTGGGGGGATTGGAAGAAGCCTTCTTCTGCCAGCCTCTCCCTGAGGAAGGGCTTGGGGGAGGCTTCCTCCCTTAGTGCTGCCTTTGAGTAGCTGGGGTGGGATGGAGTGGAGGATCCCTGGGCCAGGGAGGAGGAGGCCTCTTCGATGTGTGTGTAGGTGTATAGAGGCTCCCCGGGCCAGGGAGGAGGAGGAAGAGGCCTCTTCGGTGTGTCTGTGTGTGTGTGTGTGTGTCTCCCTGGGCCAAGGAGGAGGTGGTCTTCAGGCGTGGCTGCTGCCTCCTGCTGCCATCCCTTTCCTCGGCTTCTCCCCGCCTTAGCTTTCCTGCAGGAGCTGGTGGATGAGGACAACAGCCGGTTTGAGGAGTGGTGCCACGAAATGGCCGAGATGCGGAAGCAGAGCGTGGCGCGGGGCAAGGTCAAGCACGAAGAGGTGAAGGAGCTCTACCAGAAGTTGCCTGCCAAAGCTGGTCTGTAAGACCTTCCAATTACGTGTCTCTTCTTTGTAGGGCGGCTCTGGGCCAAGGCAGAAGGGCAGGGGAGGGGTCTGCTCTGGCCTTCCCCCCGGGGTTGGAAAGCTTCCTACATACGACGCTAGGTACAGCCCCACCCCCCTCCATCTCCCAAGAGAGCCAACCCCAGCATGGCATACTCCCTGGGGTAGGGGGGTGGCGGGACGTCCATATTTACTGTCTCCAACCTTGGCAACTTTTAAGACTTTTGGACTTCAACTCCCAGAATTCCTCAGCCAGCAAAGCTTCTACTCTGGGAGTTGAAGTCAAGACTGAAAGTTGCCAGAGGAATTCTGGGAGTTGAAGTCCACAAGTCTCAAAAGTTGCCAGAGGAACTCTGGGAGTTGAAGTCCACAAGCCTTAAAAGTTGCCAGAGGAATTTTGGGAGTTGAAGTCCACAAGCCTTAAAAGTTGCCAAGGTTGGAGACCCCCTGCCTTTTGATATCTATTTAAAGGCCCCTCGCTTTGGCGGTCATCATCCGAGCTCGGCCAGCAGGGCATGGGAGATTGGCACAGAGACTCTCCTGTTGCCGTGGGGAAGGAGGGCCAGGGGCCTTGGTCTTCTGACTTGCTGCCACCTCCCCCCCCCCCCCCCCCCACCAACTCCGTTTGTCCCAAACCGCAACTCAAAAAGATCACAATTTCCGCTCTCTTCGCCTAAGAAAAAGGACCACCGTATATAAATACATTCTTGTTCTTATTAAGACTATGTTAACACCCCCCCCCCCCCCCCCCCCCAATCCCCACAGGGCAGAGGGCAGGAACAGGACAGAAGCTGACCAGCTGTTGCATAGCCGGGAACGGATGTGGCGGGGGGGGGTGTTGATTGGTGGTTTGAAGGGGAGTGGGGAAGATGCACGATCTTAAAACTGTGCGCTGTGGTTGGTGTTGGAGGCGGAGAAGGCGGAGGGAGCTGGGAGTGCTGACGCTCTGGCCCTCTGCGCCCACCCTCAGGCTGCCCCTACGACTTTGTCTCCCTGGAATGGCTGCAGCAGTGGCTGGACGAATCAACGCCCCCCAAAGCCATCGACAACACGGGTTGTTTGTGCTCTCATGGCAAGCTGCACCCAGATAAGATCTCCACCGTCAAGCGAGTCTCGGAGGACGTGGCCGACTACTTCTACAAGCGATACGGAGGAGGACCCAGGCTGACAGGTTTGTGTGTGGCGGGGGGAGCCCTTCCTGGACCAGGCCAGCTTCAACCCTGGCCCCCTCCTCTTCCTCCTCCTTTTCGGTCTGATCCCCTCTTGAAGGAAGGCAAGGAATACCAGGCAGATGGAGCTGCTTATACGCTTGCAGGGAAGGGAAGGGAGCCTTCCCGCTCTGCAGGAGGTGCGATCTCTCACCGTTGCAAAGTTGGCATTGCACCTCTGCTGGTGCATCGCCACATTTGTCAAGTTTCCTCCCTCTTCCCCCTCGCACCTTCCCCAGCATGTTTTCGGAGATGCGAGGTGCGACCCGAGGAATCCCCATTGGCAGAAAGTGGGTGCCCGCCTACGACAGCTCAGGGAAATCTCCCTTCACCTTCTTCCTCCCCGTGTGGGAGCTCTCAGCTGGGTCTCTTCTGTAGGGTGGGCAGTGGGATGATAAAGGCTCCCCCTTGCTGAATAGCCAAGGAGGGAGGGGGGGTGTCCCTGGATGATAGGATGGATGGGTGGCTGGATGGCTACCTGCTGCCTGCCTGCCTGCCTGCCTGCCTGGATGATTGGATAAATGATTGGGTGGGTGGGTGGGTTCCTGCCTACTGTCTGCCTGGATGATTGGATAATTGGATGAATGATAGGATAGATGGCTGGCTGGCTCCCTGCCTACCTGCCTGGATGATTGGATAATTGGATAAATGATTGGGTGGGTGGGTGGCTTCCTGCCTACCTGCTGCCTGCCAGGATGATTGGATAATTGGATGAATGATAGGATGGATAGGTGGCTGGCTGGCTGTCTACCTGCCTACCTGCCTGCCTGCCTGCCTGGATGATTGGATAATTGGATGAATGATTGGATGGATGGATGGGTGGGTGGCTGGCTGGCTGTCTACCTGCCTACCTGCCTGCCTGCCTGCCTGGATGATTGGATAATTGGATGAATGATTGGATGGATGGATGGGTGGGTGGCTTCCTGCCTACCCGCTGCCTGCCTGCCTGGATGATTGGATAATTGGATGGATGGATGGTTCCCTGCCTACCTGCTGCCTGCCTGCCTCCCTGCCTGGATGATTGGATGAATGATTGGATAGATGGGTGGGTGGCTTCCTGCCTGGATGCCTTTCATCCTCCTTCCTCTTCCTCAGTGAAAGCCCTCTGCAAGGACTGCGTGGTGGAGAGATGCCGGGTGCTGCGGCTGAAAAGTCGGCTAAGCGAGGACTACAAAGCCGTCTGCAACCTCCTCAAAGCAGCCGTCAAGGGGTGAGCGGCTCCCGCCGCGAAGAGAGGGAATTCGGGAGTTGGGCGGGCAAGAGGTGGAGGTCCCCAATTCCACCGCTCCCTCCCCGCCTCCCCGGGCTGTGAGTGTTACCCCTCTCGTCCCGCAGGAGCGATGGGTTTTGGGTAGGAAAGTCCTCCCTACGGAGCTGGCGCCAGCTGGCCCTGGAGCAGCTGGACGACTCGGACGAGGACACCGAGCCAAGCAACGGCAAGATGAACGGCGACGCCAAGGAGAGAGGTAGCTCCCTCCCTACCCCAGTCACCCCCAATCTCCCTTAGCCAAGGCAGGCCTGGCCTCTGCATACGGCCCCCAAGGTTGGGTCTCCCTGGGCCAGCACCTGTTTTCAGCCTCAAAGGTTGTCAGGATGACTTGAGGGATTCAGCCTTAACCCTGATCATCCTGGTTTGAGCTGGGGACAAACCGAAAGCAAACTCTGCTTCCCTGGTTAAAGACTCTATGGAAGCCCTGCTGGTGACAAAGCCCCTGGGCCTGCAGACTGGCCGTTATCCTCTGCTTTCAGGGGAAGGGAGAGTCTGAGGGAGGGAGGAGGCAAGGAAGGAAATGAGAGGGAGAGGAAGGAAGGGGAGGAAAGGAAAGGGGAGCAAAGGAAGGAAGGAACGGGGAGGACAAGAAAGGAAGGGGGAGGACAAAAGGGAAGGAAGGAAAGGGGAGGACAAGGGGAGGAAGGAAGGGGAAGGACAAGAAAGAAGGGGAGGAAGGAAGCAAAGGGGAGGATAGAACGGGAGGAAGGAAGAGGAAGGACAAGAAAGAAGGGAAGGAGAGGAAGGAAAGGGAGGACAAAAGGGAAGGGGAAGGACAAAAAGGAAAGAAAAGAGAGGACAATAGAAGGGAAGGGGAGGAAGGAAGGGGAAGGACAAGAAAGGAAGGAAAAATGAGGACAAAAGAAGGGAAGGGGAGGAAGGAAGGAAGGAGGAGGACAAAGAAGGGGGAGGATAAGGAAGGAAGGGGAGAAGAAGCCAAAGGAAGATGAAAAAGGGGAGAAAAGGAAGGAAGGCTCCAGGGCAAATGCTCCACAGAGAGTTGAGAGTGCAGCCAGCCTGCCTCTATTCTGTGGAGGGAGGGCCACCCAGCCCCATCTTGTCCCCCCCCCCTCTGCCAGGTTGTGAGAGGGTCTCTGACTTGTTCCCCCACCCCACCCTTCTCCTTGCTTTTTCTCCTCCACAGAGGAGCCCAGTGCAGAGAAAGGAGGAGAAGAAGAGGAGCTGAAGTTCAACGAGGACATTGTCTGCCCCCACGGTGAGCGGGGGTGGGGTGGGGGCAACGATGGGACCCTCACTTGGTTCTAGCAGCCGCAAGGCATTCCCTCCCCCCCTCCCTCCCTCCCTCGGGAGCCGTTCCTGCAACTAGCTTCCCCAGGAGAATTGCTTGTTCCACTGTTCCTCCCAAGCCTGGCCAGGCACGTGTGGTGGGAATCCAGCCGTTGACCTTTTTCAAAATCCAGGAAGCGCTGAGATCGCTTGGTCCTCCTGGTCAGGCTGACACCGGCGTCTCAAGGACACTCGCTCACCTTGACTGGAGACACATTTGCAGCTGTGTGGCGTTGGGGAGAGACATACCTCCCGCCAGGCCCCCCTAATTCCACTCTCAGCCGAACTGGAGAGCAGGTGGAGGTGGCCCCAGCGGGGATCATACCCCAAAGCGTTTCTTCTTTCCCTCTACCTCCCTCCCTCCTTCCGTTTTTGTATTTACTTATTTTCTTCTTCACTCTGATGGATTTTTGGGGTGAGATTCAAGCAAACTCAAGGTTCCATATTTACACCAAAATAGATTCCCTCTTCCACATTTTATTTTCATTGTAATAGTTCCACATATGTCATCTTCTTTTATTGGGTTGTGATCTGCCCAGTATTTTTCGGAGTATAAGACGCACCAAGATTTTGAAAAGGCAAATTTAAAAAAAAAAGCTTTTGCACTCTGCAGACTGCCCAAAAACGGCCCTTTTTTTGTGTGTGTGAAAATGGGCCCATTTTTTTGTCAAAAAAGAGCATGCATAGCCTTTAGGAGGCTTGTAGAGTGCTCCCGGGGGGGGGGGGCAAAAACGAGCAAAAAACGGTCCTTCTTTTGCTCATTTCTGCCCACCCCAGCCCCCAGGAGCACTCTACAAGCCTCCTAAAGGCTAGGCACAGCCATTTTGGTGAAGGGGCGGGGTTTCGGGAGGCCAAAAATGCTGTATTCAGTGTATAAGACGCACTCAGATTTTCACCCTCTTTTGAGGGAAAAAGGTGCATCTTATACTCCGAAAAATATGGTACTTATTTTCTTCTTCGCTCTGATGGCTTTTCGGGTTGGGATCCAAGCAAGCTCAAGGTTCCATACTTTCACAAAAATAGATTCCCT